AGGGTTTAGGGTTTTAGGATTTAAGGTTTCTGTTAAAGGAGGTTCTACTTCAGGCTCAAACTGGTTTAGGGTTTAGGGTTTCTGTGAAAGGAGGTTCTAGTTCAGGTTCAAGCTGGTTTAGGGTTTAGGGTTTCTGTGACAGGAGGTTCTACTTCAGGCTCAAACTGGTTTAGGGTTTAGGGTTTCTGTTGGACTCAAGCTTGGTAGGCCAGAACCTTCCAGGTTCAAGAGATCCATAAGCTGTCGGGGGCTTGATGCTCACAGCTGTGTTGCAATGCCCTACCGGGTGAGGCATTTGAGGGTTGAAGCATTGGTGCTTGGGATCTAGGCTTATCGGCTTCTTCCTCCGAATGCCTGCTTTGGGGAACCCTAAAGTCTTGTATCTCAAACCCCTAAACCTAAAACCTAACCTGCAAAACAAACGGGGGAACGCATATGCTGCCACTGTTGTTATTAGTACTATCATCGCCATTTTCTGATGAGTATTCCTACTATTGAAGTTACTATTGCCTTATTACTATATATCACTGTCATTACTATCATCATTGAGTTGATTTCAGCCCTAAGCCCCTAAACCCTAAATCCTAACGCCTCATGGTTCAAGAACCGTGAACCCTGATGCCGGGCTGTGGAGGACCAATGATTTCAATAGGTTTCATTTCCGGGGTTAGGGTGTAAGGTTCAGAGTTGAGGGTTCAAGGTTCAGGGTGTACCTTAAGAACCCAAAACCTACTTGTTTTGTAGGGTCCCTATAAATCCCATATTAGGGTTTATAATAAGAACCTACAAAAAATGTGGGTTTTGGGTTCTTAAGGCAGGGCTTGCGACTGAGGATTTCGGGTTCTTGGGTTTCTAGCGCAGCAGGGCAACCGCGCCTACTGCGGCAGTCCGGCAGCACGCACTTCTGCAAGGCCTGATTCCAGCGTCAGGAGAAGAGTTCAGCCGAAACGATCCACGAGGTTGCAAACGACCATGCTTGCAGTACTTCTTGTATCATATGTGCAGGTGTATAATAAAAAAATATATATATATATATAGACGTATATGAATGTATGTATGTGTGTATGTATGTATGTGTGTGTACATAGGTATATCATGTTTGGGTGGGGCTTGGGGCTTCTCGCTGGTGGCTGTTGAGTTTTGGGATGTAGGCGCTCACATGGCGACCGACTTAGGAGAGTCCTGCGTGTCCTCGTGGGATCTCGTGTCAGCTTCTGTGCCAAACCCTTAAAGGAACCCTTGAAAAGAACCCCTAAACCCTAAACCCTAAACCCTAAATCCTAAACCCTAAATCCTAAACCCTAAACCCTGAACCCTAAACCCTGAACCCTCAGAATCCCTACATTTCAGTATAAGTCCTTAGGGACCCTTTGGGATTCAGGGCTTAGCGCTTAGGGGTTCTCGGGAGGGCTTCCTAGGCTCACAGAGTTCGACTGGGCTGACTTGGAGGTTCTATGGGTTTTAGGGTTTAGGGTTTAGGGTTTAGGGTAGTTATAAGTGGGGTTATAAGTGGGGTAACTATGGTTATAACCCCCAAATTAGGGGACTTATAACTCCATTTATAACTACCCAGAGAGCCCAATACCCCTTAATTAAGGAATATAGCCTAAATCATAATATGAAGCCACTTATAATTTTAGCCCCTTATAAATTAAGCCATATTCCTTAATTAAGGGGTATTGGGCTCTCTGGGTACCCATGAACCTCCAAGTAGGGTCTGACGCGCTCTTATCCCCGATCCCGAGTTCGAAGTCCTAGCCGTAAGGATAAGAACGGCGGCAAAGGCCACTACCAACGACAAATGAGTAATGTAGGGGCCTTATTAATAATTAGAAAAGGGTTTTGGGTATACTTTTTCATAGTTATAATAAGGAGCACCCAAAATAGCATAGGTAATTATTAAAGCCCCTATATTAGCCGCCTTAGCCCAATGAAAAGCTACCCCAAGCCCTAAATCTTGAAGCAAGCAAAAAGGTGCAGGCCTTAACCTCAGTCCGGGAACACTAAGCCCAAGGGGTTTATTAGGGGATTAGGGTTTAGTGTTTAGGGGATTGGGGTTTATGGTTTAGGGAAGACCCCAAATCCCAAAGCCCTCAAACCTGCGCCTAAGCCATACCCCCCCCCCTTACCACCCTATTGTGTGGTGTACTACTATAGATAGCTTACAACGGCTACAAGAAGGATGCGATTACAAGTCAACAAAAGCTAGGCCCTTAGATGTCGTTTCTCTTGTCCTGCCTGAAAACCCAAACCTTGCAGAGTTGCCTAAACCCCAAACCCTGAGTTGCCTCGCTGTTGGCGGGCCCATACTGCTCTGTCCAGGTGCGGTCACAGTGGGAGCCGGCTTGGCTGCCATTGACGACTTTGCCGTCCGGCCGCACCTGTCTGCAAGGTAGGGTTTAGGGTTTAGGGTTTAGGGGTTTAGGGGTTTAGGGTTTAGGGTTTAGGGTTTGGGGCATAGAGTTTAGGGGTTTTAATCATGGGTTTGCAAGATTCCTATAGGGCTCTTGAACGATACAGTTACAAGAGCTAACGCAACTACTCGGGCAGTACTGCACCGGATGGCTATCGCTATTTTGCCCACAAACACTAGCAGCTACTAGCATCATGCGTACTATCTACGTAGATCAACTATTGCTGTGTTGTCACTCCTGCTGCTCTAGTGATGCTCATACGTATAAGTAAGATGGGTCTTTAAAAACCCAGCTGCCGGTACCAGTTGTTATGACAACCGACTACCTAACTGCTCATACCACACTTGCGCTAATGTTATTCAAGTAGCTGCGTTATTCGAAATCCTACGGACGATGGTCAGTAGCGCTGTCAATACCACTGCCGCTCGCATGACCGCCGTGCCTGATCGTCTCTGCCAATTCCGATGGTATCACTTAGCCACTTACCCTTCTAGGAAGTGCAACTTTCGACATGAACCTGCTGACGATAGTATAATGTGCGACCACGAAACCCTCAGGTTGTCAAAAACTGCAGTTTGTTTTACGGTTGCTTCGCTCACTGCAAGGGCTCTAAGGGTTATAGGGCTTCTAGGGTTTAGGGAATACGGCTTATAAGGTTTAGGGCTTAGAAGGTTTAAGGTTTGTATGTTTGGGGCTCATAAAAATTGAGGGTTTATAAGGTTTAGGGTCTAGCGCTTATTAGGTTTAGGGTTTAGGGTATAGGATTTAGGGTTCATACGGTTTGAAAGTTTAGGGTTCAGGCTTGCTTATACTTATTTTCTTGATTGGGTGGGGTTTAAAACTCGCGCAATGAGAATAACTCGAACAGGGATTTGGGCTCCTTTATAGTGTAATTCTAAAAGAAGGTCCCAAGGAATAGTTTTGCTAACTACTTATTTAGGCTTCTACATTGCTACATTCAAAGACTACCTTGAACTACCAAAACCTACTTTTTTGTAGGGTCCCTATAAATTCCATATGAGGGTTTATAATAAGAACCTACAAAACAGTAGGTTATGGTAGTTTAAGGTAGATGCACCACAGCCAGCTCCGATACCTAAAAAGCCAAGGGGTTTTGTCGACCAGTCGTGGTAGGCAGGCAGGGTCCTGTCTCCACACGTAGCCGATGACCTTGAAGCTTGTAACCAAGAGGGTCCATATACGCTACCATGATGGAATTAGGTACCCAAAACCATAATTAAAATTAGGATGGTCTTTCAGGGCCCAATTGCAAAATGGTAGTATGTTTGGACCCACTGGGTGATGTGTTTATCTTTGCGTGTCGAGGTCGGTGCGCCACGGGCAAAGGCATGTTATGCCAAGCAGCCCCTGCTCTGTACACGGATTCGGGACAAAGCTGTGAAAATCCGAAACGCTACAACATGGGTCCCTTCTCCGACGTGCTAAGCAAACCAAGACCAAGCTGGACAGCTGGACTTTCAAAACAAGATAGGTAAACCCTAAACCCTAAACCCTAAACCCTAAACCCTAAACCCCTACTGAGGTATCAAGCCCCAACCCGAACACCTTCGAGACCATGCATGAAGTATCAGACCCTAAACGGCCCTATACCCTACACCCCAAACCCTAGACCCCATGGCCCTAAAGACCCCAAAATTAACACAAACTCGAACCTCAGAACTCCAAAACTCTGAACATTATCATTATTGCCATCATTACTGTTAGTATACATATTACGATTACTCTGTGAAAGCCGGTCTACACTGTGCGTCGGATGCATGAACTAGGCTAGGTCTGATACAAGGCCTGATGTCTTGCAAGGAATCTCAACCTCTCTCTCCCTCTCTTGAATCATGCGTTGCGAACTTGGGAAACCCTTGATGAGAAACCCAAAACCGTAAACTCCGTGACCCTGTCCCATAGATTAATGATTAAATACTGTCGCGAGCAGGCCGTAGAAAGGTCCCAGACACAAGACATGATGGCACAAAAATTGGTGAGAAGAGCTCAGAAGGGAAGCCATCTGTGAGTGCTCTTGGGAAGCTCCACTTCCGACTCACGTGGCGATTCTTCGTGGTCAGGGGAAGTACTGCACACAGTCTTCTTGAAAGCCTGTGCAGTTCGCCGATGGTGAGGTCTTCTCACATGCAGTCAAGAACTGCGCACCAGGCGCCTCCCTGAAAAAGATCGGAGTCATGATAGTTATGCGTCACTGCTATCCGACTAACTGCTATATACATACACACCATACAGCAAACCATACCAGTTGACACTTACGCTGTTGCTTCCCCCCAGGCATTCTTGGAGGGTTGCACAGGGACGACAGGATTCATCGACTTATCATCGGCACTCAGGGAGTAAGCCTTCGCGGGGGAATGGCTCTTACAGTCGATCCCCACCTCCTCCACCTGGGCTCTTGCTTAGGGATTAAATTTAAGTTAATTGCCCCGACAATTTCAAGAAATCCTAGAAATTACTATAGATCCCGAATATGATTCTGGTAACTTAGGTTTCAACCCTAAACCCCAAACATAAATATGCTAACTTAAACTAAGACTATAAGTCCCCTTCACAAGAACCCGGACACCTCCTCAGAGATGCGGAGGAGACCGGTGAACTTCAAGACCAGGAAGGCGATAGTGGAGAGGGAGCCGGACCTTACTCCCCCAATCATAATACTGTATGATGCAGTAAAACATATTACATGATGCTATAATATTGTAGAAGAAATATAATATAACATGAAGCCACAGAAACAAACAGATGCAATTAACTATAATTACAAGAGCCGACAGAGCTTTAAAGGTTGGGTTTTGGAGAACTAAGAGACCATAAGATGACCACTATGGAATTAGGTCCCAAAAGACCATCCCTACTATGGTTTTTGGGACCTAATTCCATAATGGTAGTATATATATGGACCCTCTTGGTAAGAGACCATAAGATGACCATCGCGATAAGGGCAAACTGTGCGCCGATGGCATCTCCACCCAACCCGGTCTTGCAAGCCGTGCCCTCGGTCACGCAGCCCCATCCCTTCCTTTAGGGCTTTAGGGTTTAGGG